GGGGGGGGGGGGGGGGGGGGGGCAGGCCAGGTGAGCCAGATGGCCGGGCAAAAGGGCGAGAGGAACTTGACAAGAGGCAGGGGACCGCCATGCATGCGCACCATTGATGATGACGAAGAGGAGCTCATCAAACTGCTGGCGGAAGGGCGACCCGGCTGGCATGGAGAGGCCCAGGGCCAGGACGCTCGACAGGGCGGGAAGCGGCCCGGAGCCTCCAGAGGCCTGGGTGTCAGCGTCGACCGTCAGAATTCGGTCCACCTGGAGGCGGAGCTTCAGGGCGAAGAGGGCGACAGCAGCCAAGAGCAGCTCCACGCCCAGCACCGCCGAAAGGGGGGCCAGATTGGTGCCGAGGCCGGGATTCTGGCCGAGCGCCGCCCGCAGGGCGGACACCTGCCGAGCAGACACCGGCTTGTCGGAGACACCACCTCCCGGCTGAGAGACGCCACCGGAGACGAGGGCCAGGCCTCGATTCCGAGCGAGCAGCACGGCCGCCTCGGCATTGGCAAGGAGCTGGTCCACGTCGGTCGGTGTGAGGCCGGTCGCGTCAAATAGGCTTGCCGGCTGCCCGGCCGACCGATGCCCGGTCTTCTCGGCCGCGGCGAACTCCTGCACCAGCGACTCGGTGGACACCAGCAGCGGGAGGAGGACCTCAAGGGCGCGCTGTGCGCAGCCAAGACGCTTTGCACCCCGGGCCAGAGCCATCTGGAGGGGCTGGGCCTCGGCCCCGGACGCAGGGGAAGCCGCCACGAGGGCAGCCACGCCGGCCAAGGTCAGCCTGGCGTTGGGAGGGGCCTGGCGACCCGCCACGTCCAGGTCCTCGGGGTAGCCGGCTGCCAGGGACCGGAAGGCCAGTCGCGGCAGGCCCCCCTGAAGGAGGATCGTCAGGAGATCCGGGTCACCGGTGGCAGCCAAGCTACTGAAGGTCGGGAAGAACAAATCAAAAAGGGACGTTGGAAGGTGGCTGCCCTCGGACAAGGACAGTCGGTCAAGGCCGATGACCAGGCCCGCATGGGAGGCGCTACCCCGGTCGGAGGTGGCCGAGTCACCCTGCTGCTGCTGCTGCTGCTGCTGCTGCTGCTGCAAATCCGAAAGACGCAGGAGCAGAGGAAAGAGAACCGCCGCGCGGACGGCCAGCGGCCGGGCCAGGTCGGAGCCGGTCATGATCTCGGCAAAGGAGTAGCCCCCGTCGGCCGGGTCGGCGGCATCGGACCCGGCCCCGGCGCTGGCAGCCCGATTGGAGACATCCTGCACCGGGTAGAGGTCCGTGTCCTCGAGGGTGTCCTGCGACAGCCAAGACCCAAGCACTCGGAGATAGGCCACCACCAGCGGGCGGCGAAGGTGCCGAACACACTCGGCATCGGGGATCCCCTCGGGCAGGTGCCCGGCTGCCGGGTCTTCCGGGACCGGCACCGAGTTGGAGCCACTGGGGGACAGGACAATGGGCCCGGCCTTGCCCCCGCCGCCGAGGGTCGGCAACAGCGACAGGCCCGGATTGAACAGGGCCAGCAGGGCATCCGCCACCGAGGCCTCGATCGTGTCGCGAGCCGTCTTTACCAGGCTGACAAGACGCCCGGCGCCGAGGAGAACATCCAAGCGGAAAGGATTCGGCCGGCCCGGCGAGTGGGCTCCCTCCTCGGTGAAGGCCTCGCCCAGGCCAAGGGCCAGGAGCTCGAGCGCGGCGAAGAAAACCGGCACAAGGCGCTGTGAGACTCGACTTCCAGATGGCAGGGCCGACGCCGGGTGGTCCACCAGGAGCTTTGTTTCGATCGACAGCAGGTGCAGGCTGGCCACCGTAAAATCCGCATCTGCAAGCGAGCAAAAGCCGGACGGGTCGTCAGCACACGCACACGGACTTGGGGGGGGGGGGGGGGGGGG